ACCAATGATCTATTAAAATAGAAGGGGTTGGCCAGACTTTGAGCAAAAATCAAAATAGAGGCAAAAACTCTTTCCAGCACATGTTCCTTTTGCTAAAAAAAATAACAAAAGGTACAGTTGATGGTCAAAACCAAGGTTATCAATGTAAATCCTATGAACCGCCTGTTTATGAGCCCAGAGAATGAAAGAGTGACCAATAATCCATAAACAATTCTGGAATCTAAAAGGAATCAAAAACACAAATCAGGATGAATGTAAAACGTATAACAATTGGATTTCCACCCCTCTATACCTTGAATAGTGTCAACAGGCAAACCCAAATCAGCTGCTGCAGTAGCCACCCCAGTGCAAAAGGAATGCAACCTAATATGAGCGGAGTCCAAACCAATATGAGCCAAGCACTTCTTTAAAAAAGAGGCAAACTGAAATTTAGTAAAGGCATACCATCCGCATGCAAAAGAAAATTACCAGAAAAAAAGGAGGACAAATACAATAATGATTGGGCAGCCAAAAAGAGCAAGTTGCATTACAGGAAGAAGCAGGCACTTAAACCCATCTGATCATTTTTTTCTGCACCTAATTGAAAATTGAAGAAACTGATCTGTACAAAACACATTCTCCATTAGAAGGCCAGATTCACCAAGTTTGTTCGAAGGCAGCAATTCAGAAACTTGCAGAGCGCCGAAAAACATTAGACAAAACGCAGTCTGCAAAAGGATAAATTCATATACAAAAAGAAAAACATACAGAAGCAGCAGCAAAACACAAATGTTGCAAAATAAAAGTGGTGACCAAAAGACATGTATCTAGTTTTGCAAGGTGTCTTAGAAAACCTTTCAAGATTTGTCTAACAGAGAAAAAAAATCAAGCAAGGGGCCAAACCAAGTAATTTCAGGAAAAAGGAAATCCCAGCTAAGGACTTAGCAATATAAAAGAGTATTTTTTTTAAACATTTGCTCAATAAATAATAACAGCATTCTTTCAGAGACCAACACACCCTCACCCTCAGAAGAATTAATTGAAATAAATTCTAACCAACACCTCCATACAGCCAAATAATTGGCCCATGTTGAAGGGGCCACTGAGTTATGAATACTAAGGTGAGACAACTTAAAATCAGATTCCATAAATGTAAAGGGTTGTCCGTCGTAGTCCACTCCTGGAGCCAACATCCTGGACTTTGCAAACTGAAAATGGGATAAAGCATGTGCCATTACATTCAAATAACCGGGAACATACCGATAACTACCTTTAACCAAAGTTTCAAACATTTTAAAACTAGATAGCAAAGGAGTTGAATAACAGGAGGGGACTTAGATGAAAGACAGTTTAAAGCAAACAAAACCTCTTGATTATCCATGAAAAAAGAAATTCTGCAGTTCCAGAATTCCAAACCACAAATTTCAATAGCCACCACAATGGGGAACAACTCTAATAAGACTATATTGGAAACAAGGCCCTTAACAAGCTAGTCAAAGTGCCATGGACCACAGTGCCAATGTCCCTGCCTAATTGCAGCAAAACCAAAAGCCCCAGCTGCATTGGTCAATAAATAAAATCCTTCTACCGCAACAAACTCCTCCTGCCATAAGGATCTGCCATTAAAAGAAGCCAATAAGGAAGCCCATAAACGTAAATCTTCTTTTAAAACTGAAGATAAGTGAATATGAGCCCTCGGAGACACTAAGCCCGAAATAGACAAACAAGCCTGTGAGAAAAGATATGGCTCATTGAGGTAATGAGTAGCAAAAGCTAATAATCCCAATGAGTACTGCATTTCCTTTACAGTGAGTTTCTGCTTTAGCAACATGCGAAGAACTAATGAGTTGAACTTATCAACCTTTTCCATAAGCAGCCTAAATTCCATGCAAACCCTAAAATTCTATACAAGTGGTTGTTGGAATAGATTTGTCAGCAGCAAGCAGAACCCCAAAGTGAGCACAGATTTCAAAAAATTGGGAAAAAAACAACTGCATTTGCCAGAAACTGAGGAACTCGCAAACAAAAAATTGTCGAGATAATGAACAGCGTTAACAGAACCCACCGCAAAGAGAACAACTCAGTCTAAAAAAGAATAAAAGGTAAAGTAAAAAAACCCCAAAGAATTAAAGGCCCAGGGATGAATGGGCAAAAGCCAAAAAACAGATTGAATGTTAGATTTGGCTAGCAATGCTATGTTAATAGTCTGGAGTACCTTGTCAAATAAAACATAGGAGACAGAAACTAATTCAGGAGAAATCTCATCATTCAGTGAACTGCCTTTACGGTAAGACAAATGATGAATCACTCGGAATGAACCAGGATCTTTCTTAGTCACTAAACCAAGGGGTGAAACACTAAAATTAAGAAAAGGAGGGTGAAAAAATGTTCCCTCTATTCTAACTAGTGATAACTCCTG